TTTTTTTTCCAAAATAGTTTTCTAAAAGCATGATAAACATTTTCTTATTATTCTAATATGAAAAAGATGTTAAAACTTAGAATTTTCTAAATTGTAGTATGTAAATATAAAATCTCTCAGTGATTTATTCATAAAAACACATACGATCATAGCTATTAAAACTCTTACGTATAACCATGTCCATCCCAATGTATATGGTATTATAAGTGTTAGGTGATGACATTAAAGAACTACGATTGTTGTACAAAATGTTAATGCACGTAATCTGAGTATGATAACATACGTATCATCAACTAAATATATTAATAAGCACTAGTTAGGTATTTGTGAGTTGTTTCATTTCTTTTCTTGAATAGGAAATTTAGAATAAAAAATGAAATAAGTAATAAATTTAAAACTAAAAAGAGTAAATGCTTTTAATTTTTTGTTGTCCAAGTGGTCTTAGCTATCAAATTCGAAACAAAGTTATGAAATATAATTAACATTGAAGAAAAAATAATTGAAAAGACAAAAAAACCATTATAAAATATTTTCACCTCTTTGTTTTATTTTATATTAAAATGTGCGCCTTTAATGGCTTACGCGTTTATAAAGATATAGAGCACATTTAAATATTATTACAAACAAATGACACAACATCAAATAATATAATTATTAACTTTTAAATACGAACTTGCCCTTTATCTGTTTTAAGAGGTTTTTAGTCTTTTAATCATGCTTAACTCATCCAATTAAATGAACTGACTTTTAATTTGTTTTTCATTTCACCAATAAAATTATTCTGTAAAAAACTTAATAATTAACTATTAATTTTGTATTTCATTTATTTACTTGTTTAATGTTTCACCTCCTATTTTTCTTATTATTTTTAGGTAATCCTTTTAGCCATTTTAACACACTTTCTTACGTGTTAATTTTAATAAAATATTTAATCTTAAAAAATTTAATTTATAATTGCTTAAAAATATGTTTAAAGATACAATTTCCTAAAAGTATATTTTAGCAACACAAAAGTAAGACGTACAAAATTATGCATGTGTTATTTGAAATGTGTTACTATTCATTGCTTTTGTTTAATTTAATGCCCATATTAGTTATCCTCTTAAATTCATTTATTTAGATAATCTAGTTTATGGCAACGGTATTTCATTTTGTAATTAGCAAATCCACTCCAGTTTATTAGTAAGACACAGAATTCAAATCTGTTTTGAAGTAGTCAAATACAAAGAGCACAGCTGATTGACAAGTTTTTTTTTCTAGTACTTTTGGTACGATGTTCCATCGCACTTCGTAGAACATGAAGTTTTGATAAAAACGTGTTAAATGAGAGACCAAGTATATATCAGCAGACCAGGTTATATATTATAAGACCCTAATTACATAACATTTTTTGTCCACTTTCATCTTCTCTTTATATATATCATCCAATCTTTGTTTTTTAAAAAAGCTTAACTAATCCTTATCTTATGATTTGGCATATAATTCCCTTTTCAGGCTGCGTGATAAAAATAATGTCTATTACTGGGGGCTTGCCAAATTAAACCATGGAACAATGAAATTTTTATCAATATTAATATATTATTTTTTTTATTAGCTAACTATATTATAAGTATGAAGTATTCGGTCATTTTGAAAATCCCGTAGTTGATTATTTTTAAGGGTGGTGATACACAAACACTCCTTTTTTTTTTCTCAACCTCTATCCAACTCCAATAAAATAACAATTTTACGTTAAAATATAGTAGAAAGTATTTTTTTTTTAATTGGGCATAGAAAAACGAAGAGAGGTACATGAAATTTTTCCTATTTTTAAAGAAATATTACGAAAATTTAAAATTATTTATTTATGATAATTGGGGTGTAATTAATGCATGGTGTTTGTTGATGTATATCTCTTAACAGGAAGAGAGTTTAATTTGTTGTTTGCTTCTACCACCATGTTATTATATATATATACATACACACGCAAAGACAGTTTCTTTCATCCATAGTGATATCCTTAATTTTCCTGAGGTTTCTATATAGCTTGGCTATTACTGTTTCTCTGTCTGTCTTTTCTGGAACTGCATTTCAAGACAACAATTGGCCAAAAGTTTATAACAACATCAAAGGTATGTGCATAGATAGATGATTCATGATGTGTGTATATATATATATATATATATATATATATATAGTATATTGGCTGTCTGAATTCATGTCAGTGTCATTGCCACCTAATATTGCCTGAGCTTCAAATCTGCAGTATATGATTTTCGACAGAAATTTTATTTCAATTAATTCATTTGTTAACAATACATTACATATAAAGACACATTTTGATTGATTCGGTCCAAGATGTTTCTGTACATACAAAACTCTATTAATTACATGCTTCGGAGCGGAGACATATCACATGTGCCTGTTTTATGGTTTATGTATTGAGTATGACGTTGTGCAAACAATACGCATTTAAACCAATCGCATTAATAAACAAAAAAGGACATCTTGAAAACGAAATAATAATTATTCTATCAATTCCATACTAATCCTGGTCAGAATTTGTGAGGAAAAAAAGGGTCGAGATTATCCAAGAAGTTAACGTTTAGATAAACTTTGCAAATCATCGTTAATATAAGATTTAAGGTTTAGAATTTAGAGTTTAAAGTTTAAGATTTATAATAAAAATTTAGATGTTAAATAACTTAATTTTATATTTTGCTACTTTCTATTATATATTTTTAAAGAGAATTTAACATAAAAACCTAATATTAATATCCAACTTATATAAAAAAAATTAACAATATTATAAGAAGTTTAACACAATCTTATAAAATTAATTTATATATATATATATATATATATATATATATATAACATTATCTAATAGTAATTTGATGTGGAATAACATGATAAATCTATTAAATAAGAAATTTCATTAATAAAATAAGTTTCAAATATCTTAATATCATATTAGTATATAAATTTTAAGCTTAACTTAATTTTATAAAACTAAATTATAAAATAAAATTTGTATTAATTTATATATTATTAATTCATTTTATAATATAAAATCTCTAATAATATCACTTTTACCTCAAAAATTGTAGAAAACAAATTTATATCTAATTAAATATGAGATTACTCACCCCGATTCTCAATAATAAGTACTGAGCCATAATATTAACACTTAAAATTATGCAATAAAATACATAAACACGGGCAGAAAATATTAATTTTTTATCTAATATAATTGGTATTCCCTCCCGGCTTTATAGTATAATGATGTCTTAGAAAAAGTCAAACCCTTTCCTCCGACACCCTTTATAGCTCCATGAAGTTAAGTTGACGAAGCCAATTCAAGTTATAATGGTTATGATGCAAGCAGTGGCTTTTGGTTCAGTGCTAATAATAATAATGCATATTATGTGTACCTAATGACACCCATTTAGCTCCTAAAGTAAAAAGAGGTAGAATGGATAATCATTAATTATACTGTAGCCGATAACTATACAATAAAAAATAATTTATCTCCTGTGTTCGTGACATCAACTGCCACAGCCGTCCATTTTTTTAACAGATAACTACACAACCATTGTCTGCACTATAATGACATTTCAAAAGCGATTTTTAGTTTTAAATCCTATCTATAACTTTTGTCCCTCAAAGTTTTCAGCTAATGCCACCAAATAGAAAACCTTTTTCTGATAAGTGCATGCTGAGTTAATTGTATATAATAGTTTTCAAACGAAAGTCAGAACACATAAACTAACTCGTCTGCATTGAACACTGCCTCGTTGGCTGCTCCTTGCTATATTTTAATTTTCATGGTGTTTTCCACGCCCAATCCAATGCCTTAAACGTGCTCTAATGGAATATGACCACTCTCCATTTCGTCCTTACGTTCCTTCTCACTTCTTTCCTTATGTTCCTTTCTGTAACGTTTCTTCCTTTAGCTAACTCCACTTTACCGAATTTCTCAACCAATTACTTTCGTTTAAACTCAGCAAAAATGCTGTATTTAAGTTCCTAAATGATACTGATGTTTACCTTTTACATGTCAATGTTTTTTTTTCAAGAATCAACCGATGTTCTTTTAAAACACCAACTTATATTCCAAGACAGTATACGACAAAATAAATCGTTCACCTATTAGTTAAACCTATTGTATTAATGAGTATATTTGCTTATGATAGTGCTGATAAACAAAATTATAAAATATTTGATAAAAATGTATATCAGTAAGTTAATGCTTATTTTTTAAAGAATAAAACTCATGGCAGTGTTTCTGACACACATTCGCTTTTTGTGAAAATCTTGGCGAGTAGTTCAGAAGAATGTGACTGAGTGGAATGGAAAAGCTTTTCAACTTTATGTACTACAATCATGAGAAAAAGCTTCGTGCTTTCATATGTGTTTTCGGTTTTCCATTAGATTAAATTTAATCTAGAAAGGTAGATTAGTGCTTGATCCACATATATAGGATGATTATAACAGGCAAAACAAAGACATAAATAATATAGTAAATGTATATAGTGCCTGAGATGAAATTAAGGGGGTTAATTAATCCGGGGGTTTAATCCACATCATTGTTTTTTTTGCAGATATTGATTAAGTAATTATAAGTCGTTGAAGAAGTGGTGTTGTATATATTAAATAGAATTATCTCCAAAAGGTGCTTGAAAGAAAGTGGGGTCGGGTAGGCATATAAATAAGTTGCATAAGACCATTCCCTTATTCCACACCTTCACACAACACAGTCCTTCTCTCAATCAAACACTGCAAAATGGCTAAGGTTTACCCTCAGTTACCAACATCTCCTCAGACTCAGTGTCTCACATCCAAAAGAGAAACATACACTCTATGGTTGAAATCACTCGTCTTCCACTCCAATGGATGCACTGTCTATGACTCAAATGGTGACATCGTTTACAGAGTTGACAACTACGACAGAAAGGGTAGAAGAGAGGTTAATCTCATGGATCTACGAGGCAAAGTTCTCTGCACCATAAAGAAGGTACAAATCACTCAAATACCACACCCCATATGCCAAGAATGGCTTAAACCAAGCCATTGTTGCTATTTTTCGCCTTGTAAATCGTTCTACGAGATCTTAATGACTGACCTATTCCTTTGAACTGTATTTTGCAGAGATTACTAGCTCTTGGATGTTGGGAAGGACACAGATGCATCAGTTCAGATTTTGGCAGCCAGGAACAACCGTGGTTCCAAGTAAAAAGATGTAACCAAATGATCAAAGGGAAAGTAGCTTGCCAAGTTTCTGTGGGGTGCCAAAAGTACAGCATAGTAAGAATCGGTGGCAAAGCAGAAGCATTTAGGATCGTGAACACCGATGGACAAATCGTTGCCGAGGTAATTAATTAATTAATTACCCCTCTATATGATTTTCCTAATCACACAAACACCCACATGATTAATTTAACCAATTACTTAAATTTGAAACTGGTATTGATGTTTCTTTTGGAAATTGTGCAGGCAAAGCAAAAACACTCACCCTCAGGTGTTGTACTGAGTAACGATGTTCTAACGTTGGATTTGGCTGCCGGCACGGATCATTCTCTCATAATGGCTTTGATCACAGTATATGGATTGATATGTGGTATAATGTAAAAGAGAGAAAACTGCCAGTTCGTCGATTTCAAACACACAATTCATTGGAGACTGATTCAGGATTGCTTGGCCTTTGTGACTGATCTAATGTTATTCCAAGTTCACTTTGTAAATTTTCTGAGTGACAAGTTTTGTAATCAGAATTATTTTCTTAGTTTGTATAGATAGTATATGTATGTAGACATATATTGTTTACAGAAGAAACACGATACGATTTGTTGTAGACTCCATGTTTGGAATTTGACCAAATGTTGTGTTTTTGATGTTGTGTTTTTACTGTCAGTGGTACTATAACATTAATTTATGTATAAAGTATTCCAGCTGCTAACGATAATAAAGTCGATAAGGTAGAGAAACTCACATCTCCACAAATGCGCCAACCACTAATTTGTAGCAATTGAATGAGCCCCACACGAAAAGAGAAGTGGCTCACCACCAAGCAAGTCCCTTGTACAACAACACTTTGATTAAGCTATAAGGACCAGACAGCACAGAGTGGGTTGCGTTTTGTCCTCCCTTCCCCTGTTCAAGATACGGGTGGATTTGGGCAGGTCAGGGACAAAAATGACATTTTCAATCCCTTTCCCATCAAGGTAAAACAATTCTGCCTTTCCATTCTTACGTTCCAATAATATCAAATCAGACTTATAACAAGTTATTTTTAATTTACATTTCATGCTTTTGATTTTGATAACTAGTTATATTGTAGAATAAAGTTATCTTCAATTATTAATTTTTTTCTTTTTAATTTATTCAAATTGTGGAGATGGTGTACATATAATTGCTTAAGAATAAATTTTTGCTCAGTGAGGATAACGTGTGAAATAAATATATTTTTTCAATATTTAAGGGATTTATTTAATATAATTTTTTAATTTCTTCTCTCATTAATTTAATCCTTATTTTATTTAAAAAGAGACAATATCCTCTCTTTTTTCATTATTAAATTTGTGTTAACATTACGTGATTATGCATTAATAACTTTGGACTTTTATAATGTTTTATTTTCTCTATTTTTTATCACTAGTGAAAAAAATCAGTGATATTTTTCTAATAAAAGTATGAATAGTAAAAAAAAAACTTATAATAAGTAGATGCGGTATAGAATTTGAAATTATATTCAAAACTTATCACAATAGATCAAAAAGACCTTTCATAATAAGTTTTTATTATGACGGTTAGTTCAATACCTATCATAATAAGTTGGACGCGATGACAAAATTGAAAATATATTTAAAAATATTATGACTATTAGTAAATCACATCTCATAGTATCTCTCAATCTCTGATTTTCCTCTTATTTCAATTCATTCACGCATCCTCTCTTCTCTTAATTCATTTATGTATTCTCTCTTCTTCTCTTCACAGACATTTCACATGGCATTGCCTCTATGTCGTCGACGTTATCGCCTTTCAACATTGTTGTCTCTCCACGTCGTCGCCTCCTAGACAACATTAACGGAAGACATTGTCAAAGTTATTTATGAACAAAATGAAATATTAGAAAATCTAAAAATCACCATTCAAAAAGTGTCAATGTTAGTTTAACCAAAAGACTCATTAATTTCTTTTAAATAAAATAAAGAGTAAATTGAAAACAAAACAAAAATTAAAAATCACATTAAACAAATTCTTCAAATACAATATAAAACTTATTAAACTTAAAAATAAAAATATAATACACAGTGGATAGATAAAGAAGTTTCGTATTATTTGTAGCATGTTTAAATTTTGTTTATCCAAAGAATAAAAATATTTGATGCAATGTATTAATAAGTAAAATTTTAATTAAATTTGAATGCAAAATTAAGAAATATATTAAAAAAAAAGTTTAATGGTGAATGCAAAGTAGAACATTAATCTATTTTCATCTATCTTCTAACTTTCTTAGTTATCTAGAAAACATGATGTGCTTAACATTTACTATATATTATACTTCTAAAAAGAGATATTTTTGTAATTTAAGATAAAGAATAATTCAATTCTATAAAATTAATGTTTAATTTAAATAATCAATATAAATTTTTTTAATAATATAAAAAGTATACCTAAGGAAATTGCAGTATAATTCAGTCTATTATACATTATATAAGAAGAGTAAAAAGAATTAAAAAATAATAATTGAAGGAGGAATAGAGATTGAGTTAGACAGGGAAGACTACCCAAAGTTTTTCAAAAACATACAAGGATTTCACGTTGTAAGTGTCTTGATTTATTGGCACCCTAAAAACAAGAAAGTTGAATTTAACATCTTTTTGAACCCTAACCACTGGGCAGGTGAATAATCGCTTTCAGTCCACAACACCTGCATTTCCCTTCTTCATTTCTTCCTTTATTCTGCAAAATTTAAGCTGTACATGCATACAGAAGCAGGGCAAAAAGACACACGTGTGGTCCCACATGCTTCAAAATATCAATCCCATTCCACACTGATCGTTATACCTCAGCACACCAATGTTGTTACTTCTTATCAAACACTACACGTGAGAGATTTATATTATGCATCAAATTCAACGTTATTAAACTAGGGTTTCTTTTCTCTTCCTTTGTGTTTATTCTAACAAATGCCCATTTTTAAAATAAAATCTATAGTTAATTGTATTGTTTCGTTATTCTCTGATTTGTTTTCCGCAGAACATGGGAAGTGCATATGCAGCATGTGTGACAGATTATGCCTCAAAGAACTACATCAACACAGCAGTTCTAATGCTTTCCCCTTTTCATTTGACGTATTGCTAATGCATATATAAGCATCAACATGTGTTTGTCCAGATAATGTTTCTTCTATTTCTGGTCGGAACACATCTGCATAACTGAACATCATTGAATTCTCTAAACAAATTAGTACAACATTAATGACATATAGTTAATGGAAACGACTTTAATGCTACAAATTCTGTCATTAGTAGGGAATTAAGAACTTATAATAACATGCGATTTTTGTTTTCAAAAAATTGCTGATAATTTTCACTTAATCATTATAAAGGTTTCGATTCCAAATCCATAAATGATATGATTAGAATTAATCATCTATATTCAAAGTATTATTTTTTTATGGCTAAAATTCTGCTATAATTTATCTTTAAAAAACGTCTTAAAAAGTGGTAAAAAAAATATTTATGGTGTACCATTTATCCTAATTCTTAAGTAAAGTAAAATTATGGTATGTGATAGTAAAAATAAAGTTTATACTCTTAAAAGATAATGTGGCTAATAGTGATAATGTTGTGTCCTCCCACTGTATGTAAAGTTTCAAGATTCCCTTTTTTTTTTTCATATCCAATAAATGACAAAGTAAAATAGACGGAAAAAAGCAATAACAATAAGCCAAACATCCACTGGCAATTGGATAGATTAATGGAATTTGGAAAACATATAACGCACGATGCTTGTTTCAAGTATTTTTTTATTTGCATATATAAATAAAGAAATTTAAATATTCGTAGTTAGGAGAGTCACAAATCTCCATTTTTTTAATAATGTGATCAAATGGAATCTTTACTGATTCAACTGTGTACTATACGAAATAATTCATGAAATAAACAACTAATACTAAATAAAGCATGTCTAATGTGGGCGACTATATGATATATTATGATGTTTTTTTTGCAGTTGCCATCCTTCTACATACGGAGGCTTTTTTTTTCTTTTCTTTTCTTTTTTAGACGTCACATTAATGAAGTTTGATAAAGGAGTCTTTATCTGAAAAAAGATTCAGTGATTCAACATCCTACATGAGTGAAAGAAGGCGACAAGAAGAGAGAACAAGAGAAGCATAAAGGAATTGTTGTTCTATTTTTGGTTAGAGATTTTTGGTGTTACAATCGTGCTTCACGACATGCACATGGCTACATGGATAAGTGGATTTACGCTGTACATTGCTTACCAATGACAACCATGGAATTATGAGAACCTAGAAACTTATGATGTCAAATTCGTATGGCTATAGTCAATGCGACTGTGAGAGATATACACTGCATTAGCCACATAGGCACGTTTTTATTTAATGATACTATGTATAGTTTTTAAGATTACATCATTCGTATACTATATTTGCTTATAAACAAAATTCATATACCTATATTTATATAATTAACTTATGTTTTGATGTGACGATGATGAGTACGACATCATTATGAGGAGCAATTAAAAAAAAAATACAAAGTCTGGATAACAATCCTTGATCAGATATTGAAGCAAATACTCTGATAGATGTGAAACAAAAAAAAGATGGTTTTGAATATATGGGTTGAGAGAAATGATAATTATTAAAATTAATAAATTAAGCAATGAATAATGTTTTTTTTAGAAAAAAAGCACACAAATAATTGCAGCTAGAAAATAAGCTTATGAAAGTAAGAAAGTTGCTAAGATCGGGTTTCTATCAATTTCATAAAATTCCCAAAGTACGTTTTAATTTAATTCGATTTTNATGTTTTGATGTGACGATGATGAGTACGACATCATTATGAGGAGCAATTAAAAAAAAAATACAAAGTCTGGATAACAATCCTTGATCAGATATTGAAGCAAATACTCTGATAGATGTGAAACAAAAAAAAGATGGTTTTGAATATATGGGTTGAGAGAAATGATAATTATTAAAATTAATAAATTAAGCAATGAATAATGTTTTTTTTAGAAAAAAAGCACACAAATAATTGCAGCTAGAAAATAAGCTTATGAAAGTAAGAAAGTTGCTAAGATCGGGTTTCTATCAATTTCATAAAATTCCCAAAGTACGTTTTAATTTAATTCGATTTTTAACTGTTCGCCGGATTGAATAATTTATTTAAATCTAAATGCTTAAGAAAATAAGAATTTAATCTTAAGTATTCTTTTGCGACAATTTTTAATCTTATAGTTAAGAACTAAATGTCTTCTAGTGAAATTCAAGATGACTAAGTCTTGATAATAAAAATTCATATCAGATATCCAATGGCCATATGATATTTATAAATAAAATAAATAAATAAATTCATTATAAATAAAATATTTATGGGTAGTGAAGTCGTAAAAAACATTCAACACTAAAACACAAGGAATAAACGTACAAAACAAAATTTTTATAAATAAATAAATTCAAGAAACACATTGAAATTCAAATGACTCTTACATTTAACAAGACATGAAGAAAATAAGAAGAAAATACAATATGAAAGAGAAAAGAAGTTTATAAATCCTTGAAGGGTTTTTTTTTTTCTCTCTTAGCAAGAGAGAGTAAAAAATAAACAAATATCTAACCATTTTGTTGATGTTTTAT